CCCAGGTACAAATAACTCACCAGCTTATCTTTAAAGACCTCCAATAGACCTGCTAAATGGTCATACTGTGGGGGAGTACTCTTAAGGTGACACATTTCAAATGAAGTTCGAAACTCTCCACCAAGACACACGCCATAGTAGAGGCGTCTCCATCGTTGACTGGCCTGGATAAACATTGGAACTGTACTGCAAGACAAAAGTGGTATTCCTCTCTTCAGTACTAATTACTGTCAGTAGATATAAGTAGAAGAAAAAAAATGGCTGCAGACATAACTCTAGCTTTATTGCCTGTATGAGCCACATATAAGCTGAGGCCTGCATTAATAACAAGGCCCATATTAGGCCATATGCAGGGTGGTAATGGTGGTCAGAAATGTTGAAAAAATCCCCTAAAAGTACCTGACTTTTGTCTAGGTGGGAGTGGCAACTAAAGATTTTTATTATTAAAAGGTACGTGCAAACTAATTTATCAATGAGTACTGTCTGACTATTCTGGCTCGCACTATAAAACAACTCTGATGATAAAAGAAGGTTGTCACATAATTATACTATAGGCGAGCAAAGCAAATTTACAGAAGTAACACTTCAGCCATCAGCTGGTGGAAACAAAATTAGTTATAGTCAATTGAATCCTACAGTACATGTATGGTTTAAGGTCATCTCATTCTCTTGTGGCTCACATGCATTGTAACCAAAGTACTAAGATGGTGACATCAAAAATATAGATTGAGGGCTTTTTACTGGTATACCAGATACATAAACCTACCATTTAGCATTTGAAAATGCTATGGCTATTGAACTTAGAAGTAAATGGCACCGTGATTCATTATCAATGGCTTCTATATTCTGCGCTGGCGTAAGAACTATGAATTCCTTTAAACCAAACCTGAAAAAAGACAACCAGTGAAAAGAATACTAAATAGTGTTAATAGCGCAGCGCACTGATTCTAAAAATAGCTTAAAGATTCGGACAAACATTGCATTCTGTTTAACCACCACGAGGATTATACGAACCGGTTTTATTATTTTTACTTAAAGTTACAATAATAACCCATGTAAACTAAGAGCAACTGCGATCGGCTGTGAAAATTATCTGCTGAAAGTAAACTTCTAAGTTTGTTTGTCCGAATTTCGCCTTTGTCTTCGTTTTTCATGACGTCACGGTTGCGTTGCGCAATTGAACCACTATTGATTATGATGTTAATGAGACTTCAGCTATAACACAGGAAACCCATGCACACACTAGTTGTGAGAGATTTGTTATAAATCTCCAGCTGAGCAGTGAACCCGGGGTGCAAAGCATGAGCGGACAAAATGACTGGCCCTAAAGCATTTATGGAGCTTAAAAGAACAGAGCAAATGTGGCACTTAAAGTGAAATTGTTTTTAGTCTTCATTTCCATATTTCTGCTTCTTGTAGGCATGTATATCTTATATTTTAGTCAAAAGAATTCAGAAAAATAGGCAAAAGTTGGGTTACAGTAATGAGGAAATGAGGGCTGGCGGCAAAACATCTAAACATGCTGTGATTGGCTGAAACAAAATTCACGGCTCATCTGGTTCGTAAAAATGTCAAAAATGGGAATAATTTAGCTCACCATCGACTGAGACAGTGTACTCTAGGTGGAAAGTCAAAATCCATGTCAAACATATCCATTACTGCTGACGGGATACCCTCCTCAGATCCTTAAAAAAATAAACAAATTGAACAAATGAAAAAAGGATGAAAGAAATGAATGTATATGAATAAATAAATAGAAAAGTAAAGGGGGGATTGAAGGAGTGAGAAAGGAGGGAAGGGAAAAGAGGAAGAGAGGGAGAAAGGAAAACATGAATGGATGAATGGATGGATGGATTGATTGTCGAACGAATGGATGGATGGGTGGTTATATAAATGAATGGATGGATAGATGGATGGATAGATAGATGGATAGATAAATGGATGGATGGGTGGCTATAGATATAAATGAATGAATGGATGTACTGTATGGATTGGTGGCTGAATGAATGAATGGATGGATGGATATAGATGGATGGATGGAAGGGATGAGGTCAGAGAAAGGGATGAGTAAAGGAAGGAAATGTAGGGAACTGTAGTCGTTTTATTTTTTTAGCAGTGCATAAAAAGATTTTTCAGTAAAAATTAATTCCTTGATTTTTTAAATAAATACATACCTTCTTTAATATTTTTAGTTGAGTGCTTTTCTTTTCTTTTACTTTTGAGATAATGATATGCAATATTGAAAGTAAATGTAGCAAAGCTGACTTCTTCCTGCATAAATGCCCATGTGCCTTCTTTCTCCTAGAAAACATTTCAATATTTATGTCTGGTGAATAAAAATATGCTGGCATGTATTTTAGTCGACCTGTGATGCATACATGTGTCATATGTGAGTAGAGTTGTTTGTTGGTTCTCTCCTGTGCTTCAAGAGCTTTTCCTCCAGTTTTCCTCCCTCCAAAAATTCAAATTCTAAATTTTAATTCGATTTACYGGCTGCCTTATCAATTGGTTTGCAAGGCCTGTTAGGCATTAAGCCGTCCACCCAGGAGAGGTAAATGCATTAGAAATATTTACATATGCAAGAATCAACTTCCAAGAGTGGCGTCACATGGTCTGAAATGTGCACAACAAATAACGAAGGTAAAGCTGTCTATTTTTGACTTTATTTAGGGAGATTGAAGGTGAAGTGTGACAGTTGCAACTTAGCATAATCATATAAACTTGTGACCATCAATGTGTCTCATAGTGAAAAATACACATCTAGCATTTTTCAACATCTCTAATAAAGAGAGAATCACCACTTTATTGATCATCAGAGCCACAGTGAAGGTCTATCCATTTGCAGATATTTTTTTTAGTAAAGGCAGCACCTTCTACTCAGATATTTTAAAACCCTGAGTGTTGGTCCTGCCACTGGGCTTGAAACCATGACCTACTGTACGTACAACAGACCAATGTTAAACCAAGTGTCCCTGAACTAGAAGATGGCTAATATGCTAGAAATGTATGTTATGCAGATGGATGGGTGGGTGGGTGGGTGTGTGGGTGGATGGATGGATAAATTATGAAACAAATGAATGAATTGGTGCATGGATAAACAAATAAAAAAAGTTATAAGTTTAGGAATGAACTGCTGAAAAAATGAATGATAAAGAAATAATAATTAAATGAATGAAAACAATGGATGGATGGAAGTAATGAATAAATGAATGAGATGGATGGGTGGCTGAAAAAAAAATTATGAAATGCAATGAGGCGAATGAAAGACAACCATATCTTAAAATTTTTCAGTGATGTCTTACATGTTCACTTTTCTTGATAGGGATGGGGTTGATTTTAACTTTTTCTGTTGAAGCAGTGAATGATGATCCTGAACCCTGGAGAGTAGAACATATATATATATATCTATCTAAATATTAGTATCCAAAGTTTTGGTAATGCAGTCAACAAAACCTCGCAACTTGTTACATGCAACATTATTGCATTGCAAGTTAATTAATACTGAGCAAATGTTGCTCATATTACCACTCTGGCACTTTTAGACCAGTCTTCCTGTCTGGGCACCCCGGGGAGGGGGGTACTCCGCCAGAATTTGGGTTGGGGTGTTCTGCTGGGATTCTGAAAGGGGTACTCTGTTTATGATAAAAAAAMCCTCAAATTTGTGGACCCTGTTTATGATAAAAAATATAATTTATTGCACTGAGTTCCTGTTCCATTATCATGTCATTTCGCGTATCGTTTTTTTACGACCATAAAAACCAGTTTCGGTGAATACGAAAGTAGRAWCCCTGAATATGACAGGAAACTCAGGAARAACTTGGAACTTGAGTGAAATTGCATACCCTGTTTATAATAAGAAGCTCGAAAACCCATACCCAGTTCAGCGGATCATCCCCGTTAAGTCCATATATGAGAGTCCCCCCCCCCCCCCCCCCCCCCCCCCCCCCCCCCCCGGGCACGTTGACTGGTCAATGTGTTGATCAGTCCGATGTGGCTGTTCATCGTGTCTGGCCATATTGAGCAGTCAATATTTTTAGTCCTGTATCTCATCTAACTTAATTTTACAATCTTAAAATATAAGGCATATTTTTATAGGAGAGTAGTTTTCATGACTTAAAAGTGATTGATACAAGCTTATTTTGAAAAGCTACTTTAGATATACAAATAGTAAAAATAGCAATGAGTATGTATTACTTTTTTTGACAGTCCAAATACCTTAGAAGATCTTGTAGTGAATCTCGTGCCATCATCAAGTTTCCATTCATGGAGGACTTCTTCAAGCCTTGCAATAAACCTTCAAGTATTGAACAACATTTGGTTTGAAAAAAGATTTTGATCAAACTACTAACGTTGGAAAATAAAGCTAATTTTTGTACTAATCTTTGAAAGAATAAAGCATCTTCATTTTCATTTTTATTTCAAAGTTAGGATCTTTACGAACATACAGGTAGATTTGTGCTTTGTATCTGTAATTATTATTATTTTTAGCTCAAAGATTTTAGCTCAAAGATTATTGTTATTGTAGAAATATGGACGTTTACCTTTCCCAGTCAGACGAAGTGGTAAAATCTGTAATTTCGAACACTTCATTTTCCTAAATTAAACAGTAAGGTAGCAATACATATGTATTTTACAAATAAAATACAAAATGCTATTTTTTTACAAAATATTCCCACAAATTTCAAAACTTTTTGTGTAAAGTTACCTCCTCCTCCACTTCCTCCATCTTGGATGCACATACTGGGCATGCGCCGTGGCTTCTTGTTCGAGCCAATGACATCATCGCAGTAACGATTGAAAACCTTCGAGAAGCGCGCGACTCGCGCGAATCCCGACGTCCAAATTCCAAAAAATTGCTAGCTTTCCTCAATAACATTGTCAAAGAATATTTTAAATAACACTTTTGAAGTTCCTTTTTGTTCAGTACTTTTCGTTAACTAGTGTTAGACCCTCTCGGTAAGAAAGCCAGTCGAMTGCGGGCAGGAGTGAAACGTAAACACGAAGATATTGTTAGCTTTCCTAAATATAATTAGCAAAGAATCCTTTGTAATATTTTCTAAGTTTTATATTAAATATTTTGAAAGTTTTTAAAATTTTAATTGTGACGACATAATGGTGTTCAGGCCCTCTCGGTAGGACAGGAGCTTGAAAACGTAAGCACAAAGAAGTTGCTAGCTTTGCACAAAACGTTAGCAAAGAATCTTCTGAATGACTCTTATGAAGTTTTATGTCTTAAGATATTTTTACATCTCTTAAAAATCTTTTTTTAATTAAAGTTCTTGACATTTTTATTGTGACGTCATAAGTTTTTTCTCAGTCCCTCTCGGTAGGAAAGCCATCTTGATTGCGTGCTGGAAGTGAAACGTAAACATAAAGAACCGTGTGTATGATAAGCCATGCAGAAGCCGCGATCGAACCCTCCAAGCATCAAGAAATAAAATTCCATGTATCATGCCTCCTACCCCGACTCCGTGGAGAATTGAATTCCATCATAAACACGGGCGATTTATAAAACTRTCCAAGACTGACTCCAGAGCGACAAGAGAGGGCGATACTTACGACCATGGTGTTGTGTTTTCTCGAAGACCTTTGAAAATCGGTGAGATTTTTCAGCTTAAGATTGAGCAGATGGAATTAAAATGGGCTGGTTCATTGGTAAGTTTAACGTGTTGCATTTTTAGTATACAGTTATAAACCAGAATGTTACGTATGTCATATGTTGAAAGTCAGTTATCTGTCATTTATATGCATKTTTGGAAATATATGACTTCTCATAACAATTTCGCGAAACCAAAAATGCCAATTCAAATTAATTCTTATTTTATCTAATTATTTAGAAAATCATTTTAATACAATAGTTTTGATTACCGTAGCTCGAATTACAGCAATATGCATTGTTTACAAACTGGTTGWGTCTTGTGTCTTGTGATATTACCTTAATGTGATATACATTTTTTGCAGCGACAATAATTTATTATAGGTATATGCAGATAAGCACCTCCTATATATCACGCATAAAATCAAGCAGACATGGCCCACACCAGCCTSTTGCTGTCAGACTTTATACCAAAATTACTCTAAATAATGTAGATATAAAACAGCTGACTTGATTAAAACTCAAAAGAAATATAAAAGACAATAGACCTCTTTGTCTTRATTCTTTACCCATTTCAGACCACTTGTCATTCTCTTAAAAATAAGATTTATTTTTATTCATATTCATGCCTCTTTTCATCGACAACTGTTAAACAAAAAAATTATACTCTAGGGAATGACATGTAGGAAATAGGAAAACAGTATGCACAAGTTAAAGAGCTATAGGTCTATTATTAAGATTTTATATTTAATACATCCTTATTTTCAGAGACTGGGAGTGACCTTGAAAAACCCTAATTGTCCACATACTAATGTGGTGCGTGCAGCAACAGACTTATTCGTAGACGATTGCAAGGATTTCTGGATTTTATCTGGTTCTCGTATACATAATGGAACATTTGAAAAAGAATATGACTTTAACATACATTCATTAAAAGAGAACGATTGTTTAGGAGTTCAAGTAACACACGATGGACAATTAGTTTTTTATGCCAATGGTGTTAATAAAGGAGTGGCTTTTACAGGACTTCCAGCAAAAAAAGACATTTTTGCTATATTTGATGTTTATGGAAGGACAAAAGAAGTTACTTGGAAATATTATGGAGGTAAGTAAGGACCCAGAATATTAAGAGGGGCTAGCTTGCAAAATGATATGACAKCTGCATAGAAAAGTCAGGCACTAGAGGGACCAAAGACTAATTGGGAGCATAAATGTTTATTGGGTGGGGAGGGGGGGGGGCCAAGAATAACAATTAGGTTGTATTGATAAAATAGAAGTGGCACCTGCTGGTAACATGTAGTATTAGCTACATTGTAGAAAAGTATTGAAAATAATAAATGAGGCTTGATAAACTGAAGCTTTTACTTCAGCAAAGCTTTTGCCATCTTCAGAAATACAAAGCTGAATATTGGAAATTAACTAATATAATAATATATATAGCTACWGCACAAACAGAAAAAATAAATGAGCTATTGTGTGGGTCATTGTGTGATTCTAAGTTAACGTGCACAAATGTTTTTCATTTTTTAGCAGAAACTTTGGATGATCTTTGCAAAAGGGTCATATTGAGAAACATTTCCAGCACTGATGACCTGGATAAGCTTCCACTTCCACTCCTTTTAATAGATTATTTGAAGGAGAGTATATGACCCACATTAGATAAACTATATGGAAGTAATACTATAGGTAGCTTTTTGAATTTCACTATATAAGCAGTTAATAATTATAAGAATTTCATCTCTGTTATCATTTTTGGCTAGCAAATGCTAAATCAATTGTAGCATTTTGGTACTAACTCCAGATGGGTCGATCAGCAAGTATTATAAGTACAATTAAATTAGACTTCCTTGGCTTAATTGGATGCAATGTTTTCACATTTCAGATCAGACCATGTGTCATTCCCTTGAGAATGCAGAGCTTCTTTGCTTTACAGTGTAGTTGTATTCACATACATTCATGTGTCTTCTYATGTGCAACTGAGCCCAACCATTAAACAAAGAAATGATACCCTAGGGAATTAATGCATGGTCTGAAATAAGAAAATGTTACGCTCAAGGCAAAGAAGGCTATTAAGCCACAAATACTAAATGCACACTAGGTAATAAATATAATTAACCATCCTTTATGAATAAATTAAAGACGCTGATTTATAATTTTTGTAGTACCTATTGGGATATTATGCATCTTCACATTGCAGTATTTATCGATAAGTGCATTTGCTTTTGACCTTTGGGGTCTCAACATCAGATTTGAGTAAATTATGTTGTTATTTATAGTCTTATCCCGTTGATTATTTGAGGTTTTTACTTTGGGTTCTCCATCTGTTTTACTCCCTAGTAGAGCTGCAAAACCTAAGCTAAACCCTCAGGGGTAGGGAAAGGAATGAGGGTCCAACGTCTGGACTAGTCGTTGTTGGGCAAGGCAATAGAGAATTTGCATCGATCATCAGGTGATGGCAGCCATGACAGGACCAAGCAGGAACAATTGAATCTGTTTTTATCTGATTTACATGAAAAAAAGATTTCAATTTCCCCAGGGGAAAAGTACTCTATATATTGTACATGTTACTGCCTCCTGTCATGCCTGCCATCACGTGATGGTGCAGACCCTATAAAAAATATTTTTGTTATAAATGTAATGGGTTTTAAGTATCGCATCTGTGTAACAACTTGAAAAAAAACTTACGTGATTCAATGTCTGGGATGTAGGATTTTATTTTCTGATTTTCAGGCATATCAAGTTTTACTCTATATGTTAGTGTCCAAGTTTGAGTAGGGAAAGCTCACTCCATATATGGTATGATCAATTCCATATTTGGATTGTGCGGAAATACGACACTCAATGTTTGATATGGAAAAACGTGAAAACATTAATCAATAGAATAGATATTCACCTTTGAACATGTTGAATTTGGTCATCGCTTATTATTGTCGCTGGACGCGACTGGACGCGGAATTTCGGAGAAAAAAAACGCGCCTGATTGGGGATTMGTCAGWGATCAGCGGTAGCTGTACCCACAAACCCCCGCGGTCTTCCATCGTCGCCATTTCTATTTTCGCTCCACGAGGTTGGTTTCCARCTTTGCAAGAGGTGGAGTTATGCAAGAATTATATGTTTTTTTGACTTGTTTTCCGTTGTGTTGACGGAAGAAACTCAATTAGCTCCCCCAAACTCAATTAGCCCCCCAAACTCAATTAGCCCCCCCCCCCCAAATGGCTGGATCCGCCCTTGCTTAGCTTATTCCCGCTGTAACTTCAGCGATTAAAGCCATGGGAAGCAATCTAAGCTCAAACCCAGTACAGAACAGTGCAGCTGGAAGGTCTTATGACACAGCTAGCAGAAAACGCTCATGAAGCAATTGAAATAATCAAGCCTTATTCCAAAAGAGGCCGTTTTGATGACAAYGAGGAGGATCTTGCAGACCCAACGGAAATCGGATCCTGAAGAAGATCAGTCGACCTCCAGATGGAAGGCCTCGGCAGAACTAGAAGCCTTTATTGAACTTACCAGAAGTCTATCAAAGTTTACCAGAAGGTCTCATGATCACTRAAGAGTTTCCTAGACCTGATGTGGCAGCTGCTTATACACCGTCTCTTGTCTCTTACTCGGCAGCTCTCATTACAGGAGTTCAGAAGCCTGATAATGTCACTTTGAGTCTCAGTGAATAAGCTCAAGCTCTGCTCAATACTACCAGGAAAGGCATTCAGCTAGTTGGAAATGCCTCAGCATGGTTATCTGTAAACAGACSCCAGCACCTTTTAACTAAACTGAACCCTACTTTAGCATCTCTATCTAAGGAGGAGTTTCCCTGATGCTAATAAAGACCTGTTTGGGAATGGGCATGAAGACCGTCTCAAAACTAGAGCAGAAACTACCAAAAACTTGGCCGAAGCAGCAAAAGTGGGTCAGCAGCCTTTTCAGAAAAAGCCCCGCCTCAAGGTCGAGGGGGCATGTCCTATCGTGGCAGAGGATTCCAGAGAGGATTTCACACCTACCAAAAACAAAAACCCTACAACCCAGGGGCAGGGGCTTTCAACCAAGAAGAGCTTTTCAAAGCCACCCCCAGCTYCCACAACAGTAACTTCCAGGCCTCCACATCTCCCTACAGGTATGTTTTATCACCTTGTRTTGCAAAATATGACTCATATCCCYATAGCAGGGAGRTTAAATTTTTTTCTGACCCATTGGTAATTTATAACAGAGGACCCATGGGTTTTGTCGACTGAAGGGGGCTATCAAATAGAGTTTATGACAAATCCAGTACAAAACCAGTCACCTCTGGCAGCTCATACAGAAGGAGCTAGGTTGTGGAGTTGCTAGAAAAAGGAGCAATTCCAAAAATAGACCAAAGCAGACATTCCCCAGAGGGTTTATCAGTACCCTGTTTGCTGTTCCAAAGAAAGGAGGGGCCAGAGACCAGTTTTCAACCTCCGTTGTCTGAACAGGTTTGTAAGTTATATGGAGTCGAAATTTCTGAAGTATAATTACAGATCATGCCAGSCCGCGAAGCGGCTGAAGTATAATAGAATTATACGATCGCGAAGAAATGAGACGTATCTCTGGWTTACAATTTTACTATTAAATACTAAATCTAAATGAACTATAACTTGAGTATTAGTCCCGAAGGACGGGAACTGGGGAGGAGGGGAATAGGAGAATGAGGGYCTCTCCTTTTCTCAGCTCCAGTTTCAAGTTCTCTGTTGCTCAGGATTACCCCTAGTTGTGCCTTTGTGCAGAATATTCATGTGTTCCAGTCAAGGTCCGTGGAATTTCAAAATGTTCGTATTGTTTAAGTTCTGAATTCTTTACTTTACCGTTAGTATTTGGAAATATTTGAACACTGATACGAGGCTAACCCCGAGTAAATGAGTCTGTAATCAAGGAACACGTGACAGCGAAAATACAGTGATTTGTATGGGATAATTATATATTTAAATGGTCATATCTCAGCTGATAGTGACCAATTCTCGTCAAAATTGGTATGTAAACGTCTTTTATTTTGATTGTCTATAGAAATTAGAGATCGAAAATAATTCAAAATTTATGTTTTCTTGACGTCACACTTGAGTACTCTATTTTATTGTCTGTACGGCATTCCTGCTGCTTACCCTTCCATTGCACATAGTTGATAAGTATTCAACTTGCAGTGGCTTGCTCAGCTAACTTCCGGAGGATAACAAACAAGATTGAATATTTGGAAACCGGCATAAACTACGACGTACGTACTGAAAGTGTGCTTTACAAATTTGAGCTGAGGTAAAATGGAAACTACAACTTGCGAACTGAACTGTCTTCCTTGAAAGAACGTAATTTGTATGCCTTCTACAATTCGTTGTTCTGTGACGTGGAGTTCACTGTATTGGACTCGAACGGAGAGCAAGTCACCCTAAAGGCCCACAAGTACGTCCTGGCTATCGGTAGTCCTGTCTTTGAGGCCATGTTCTACGGGGAATTAGCAGAGATTGGACCAACTATCGATCTACCAGACTGCACCAAGGAAGGACTACAAGAAATGCTTCATTATGTGTATTCAGACGAGGTCAACCTTACGGGAAGCAATGTCATGGATGTTCTATATGCTGCCCAAAAGTACATGATGCCCTTTCTAGAAAACAAATGTAGCGAGTATATTCAGAAAGAACTCAGACCAGAAGATGTCTTTATCGTTTTACCGCAAGCCCAACAAATGAAAAACGAAAAGGCCGAACTGTGTTGCTGGAATGTTATTGACTTTGAAGCCGAAAGAGCCGTGACGTCTGAGCCGTTTCTCGATATTTCTCGTGAGYTGCTGATCCAAGTGCTTGCCAGAGAGACCCTTCATGTTGAAGAAATTGAACTTTTTAAAGCAGTTGACAAGTGGGCTTCAAACCAGATTAAAGACGAGAAGCTAAAGCACGACGGCGCTACTAAACGAGAAGTGCTTGGAGAGGAAGTTATTCGGCTGGTAAGGTTTCCAATCATGTCACACCATGAGTTTGCACAATTCGTCATCGATAGCAATATTTTGGTCCTCGCCGAGACGAACGAATTTATAAAGGTCCTTGGCTCTGCAACGACATCAGAAGCAGTGTTTACTGCTAAGAAAAGAGATGGACAATGGAATGAAAAGTGGTCTCCAAATAGATTTCGAAGCATTAAGGGAAATGGTAATGAGGAAGTGATGAACAAAGGGGTTCAACGACATTGCATTCAAATTCAAGTCAACAAACCCGTCTATCTGGCTGGTGTTACATTATTTGGTGCTCAATTTCAAGTGCCTAAAATCAAACTAACAATTGCTAAGGGAATGAAGGGTCACGTGTACAACGCAGGTACTAACAACTTCGGCGTCATTCCTAGCTGTGACACTAGGAAAACGCTTCCTATGGGCTTTGCGTTTGGGTCATCTACACCGCCTAGTATGAGAATACAAGAGAATACAAGGGCATTAATATTTGGACAGGGGAGTACCATTTCAGGTCTTCCCTCCCCTCCCTCACCTGTTTTCAAACATACCTACGCCGAGCTCACATTTGATGGTACTGCAGTGTTAATAGATGGTTCATATCATGGATTTAAGCTGTTGTTTGAGGGACTTCCCAATCACTCCCCCGTGCCCTTAGAGCCAAATGAATGGTACTTTATTCAAGCAGAACTCAGTGGACAGTGTTCCTCGTTTGCTGGCAGCGAAGGTCAAGATGCTGTGAAATGTGATGATATCACTATCAAGTTTAAGAATGCTGACCAAAATTCCACCACAGTACAAACAGGCCAGTTTCCTTCATTACTTCTTAAAAGAAAAGTACAATTATTATCCCAGGAACCGCGGAGTGTAATAGACCAGTTTCAAGTTCCAAATTAGAGTGGTTTTCATAGAACCCGTGAAATAAAATTTAGCCGATTTTAAAACTTTTATTAACGCATAATAGCGGTTATTAGCAAGACAATTGACGTATTGATGGGTTGCAAGCATTCCCAAGAGAGTTAAAACACAAAAACATGGCGGCCATTGTGGTACCGTTAACAATGGATGCTAAKGAGAAATCTTTTTTTAAATGGTACCAACATGGCCGCGATGACGTAACGTAAAAACGAAGAATTCAGTAGAAGTTTAGAGTGATTTTCATTAACCCTTGAAACAAAGTGTACTAATTAGAGTGTACTAGTCACAAAAAGATGGTAGAAAACAAAAGAAATATTGTGAGGCAGTAGTTAATATATATGCAAGAATTTTGTTTGGCTTAGAAAGCTTGACACTAGCCGTTTCGTAACAGTGTAAAAATAACGCTAGTTATATTGCATACGAAATTAAAATACTTATCATCACAATCAGCAGAAATACTTTTTGGTGCTCCGCGTCAACAAATAAACAAGCTTCAGAGCGCACAGAACTTGAGCAAAAAGACTAATATATCGCACTAAAATACAAGAACGTATAGAGCGTTTTCACGTGACGTCACAGCGGCCATTATGGGGTACCAAAACAATACATTTTCTATCCTCCGGGATTTGAACTCTATTTTTATGCAAATACTTTGCAGAAAGTTACTATTGTTTATGGCTACCTTCTGACGTGAGTGAAAACGCTCTAACCTCGTTCCCAGGGCCCTCTCACGCAGWGGAGAAAAGACCTTAGCGTTGGCTGGTCACGTGACAAATCCGACACCCAGCATATTCGCGCACTTGATATTTTTCTCTTATTCTCTCTATTTCATCATACACACCGAACGCATAATTTATTACTAATAAATTAAATATAACAACTCGAAAAACGGTTGAGTATTCAACAGTATTTCGTCGTGTGGAATTTGCTTTAAAGGGGCACTTGGATGAAAACGCCCCGGTTTTTGAAAGTCCGAATAATTGAAGTATTCGAGGATAATATGACTCAAATATAATTATGAAAATCAGATTAGTGAAAATTTTAGCCTGGGAGCCACTTGCAGTTGAGATATTTTGGGGAAAAAGCGAAAAGAACAATAGGGTTGAGTAAATGACGTCATTTACTCACAATTTAGATGCTGAATAAAATTGATAATTTTTTTACGCCACTTTTAACTGTGAAGGAAACATGTTGCTTGGCTACTATCTGGGCCATATAGATACGTTTAAACAAGTTTCAAGTCATTATGAAACTAAAATTGACTCATCAACCTTTAAATAATTTTATATTTTCCTTAGCTAAGGAAAAACATTACACTCTAGGTAAGCTGGGCATTGTTCTAGGCCAGAGTGGATGCCTCATACCTCATCAATAACAATACATAGGGTAGAATATTATACTATTTCGGGTATCGCGTTCGTGGATTGCATTACGTTTACAAAATAAGTCGCATAAGTATGGCGGTGCAAGCCCGTTCACACACTCATCTCACATCTCACATCTCACAAAGAGCAGGTGTAATGTGATCAAATTTCTTAGTATTTGTGGTGATTCTACAAGCAAAATTCTGTACTGCCTGGAGTTCCTTAATGTTTCTTTATTTATCACAGCTTTTCCCATGAGGGCCGGGAGACGACAACAGCATTTTGCCAATTACAGTGGGCCCTTGTAGAGTTTAGCACGTCACCAGCGTCTTCAGTGGTTCTTTTACGTCCGCCTATACAGGGTTATATAGTGAAGACAGACGGGGCTTACGGTTTTAAGTCCTTGTCCGAGAAGACTTGGTGGTCTAACCATTTGCAGGTGTAATAGACCCTTCGGCTTTCGGTAATGTTTTCCCATTTCAGACCACGTGTCATTCCCTTGAGAATAAGATTATTTGTTTTGAGCTGTATCCATATTTATGTGTCTTCTCATGTGCAACCGAGCGCAAACCTTAAACAAAGAAATGATATTCTAGGGAATGACATGTGGTCTGAAATGGGAAAACACTACGTCAGAGCAAAAGAGGTCTATTACAAACGCAGCACCTTCTCCTCAGTTATTTTAAGATCCTAAGTGTTGACCTTCCGCACAACAGACCGACGCTCTTACCAACTAAGCTAGCCGGGTGGCGGTCCAGTTCTGGTACTAATCACTTGATCAGTTTCTACGAGATACAGTTCGTGTTTTTTCATTAAATTCAAAATTTATTTAGATATGCATTATGGGTGGTCACTTGATTTTCACGTCATTTCTATTTTCGCATCAATTTAATTTCGCCATTTTTCGAAAATCGCGAAAGTAAAGTGTCGCGAAAATTTCATTTAATAAGTGTAAGGTAGTCGAGGAAGACATCGCTACAATTTACCTAAAGAACAGCTTGAGTTAACAAATAAAACATGCTCCGTTCAATAATAAAGCACGCTGGTAGTGAAGTAAGCAGGAAGAAGAGTAAGATGAACACTTTTTGTGTTGAGTTTTATTATGTAGTTTTTGTTTTTTTTTCAGTATTAAATTCATTTACGCAAAAAGAAAGACGGTTGCAGGATCAAGCAGCACTTTGCGTGCGCAGATGGCGTCAGCACTGTGGTCTGTTCACTAATAAAAGCACAGTTTTCGACCAATCAGCGCGCGCGTACTATCCTAAATATTCTATAAGGTGATTTGGTGACTATGCTTTATAGGGTTTGTGACTAATTTAATCGAAATAAGTATATGACTTCGAGTTTGTTACGACGGTTCTCATCAAAAATATTTTTGTGAGCCCGTGATTTGTCGAGACGACTGCATGTTTCACCAACGAGTTTGTCATGGCTTTTCTCAAATGGTAAGTCTATTCTTTTGATAATCTCGCTTATACTCAGCCATCTACGGATTTTAACCCTCACTGTAGGTAGTCTTTGCTACAATGACTGTACTGAACGTAATTTTAATACTTAAAAAATTTCGTCCTTGCTCACAATACCAGCGATGAAACTTTTGCTTCTGTTTTTTCCCCATTTAATTTATTGTTTTCCGAACATTTAAAAGAACATTAACTTCATATTTTCTTATTTGAAATCTAGCCTGAACTCAAACTCCACCTGAACAATGAATTTGACCTCGAACTCAAACTTGGTGCAAAGAAATCTTATATCGTATAGAACGGTCTGAACCCAGGTGAATGAATCTTAAGATGACTTCCGCTCAGGTTGTCGAAACGTCAGTCCCATCAAACAGTCCTTCTCAGGATTACATCTACCCGGATGATCATCATACTTCGATAAACGAATCTTATATCATCGTGGACTTTTTTTCTTCTTTTGTGAACATGTCTTCTTGTGCTCCTTCCAGTCCGCTGCTTGACATTCACTAAATGAAAGAAATATATCAAAGTACATTTAAAATCAAACTGTGAAACTTTTAAAAATGAATAGAATGTGAAGGCTTCGATACTTTGGCTGGCAATTACATGTAAACCTCCCCCACCCCCCACCCCCGATATCCCCCAGTTCATTGAAGAATTAAAGAACTTAAACAAATTGACAAGACCTCGGGCACAGTTTTTCCCTATTCGGACCTCCTTGCCGGTAAATAACATAAACATTATTTATTTTTGATACTCATAAGAAGAACACTAGACTTGCTTGCAATTAGCATATGGTACGTGTAATGGGGGGTCTATTCGGGAAAACATCAAGGAGCTCTGCTTCCTGAAAAAAAAAAACACCGAATCATATCAATTCATGTTTTTTAATTCCATTACCTTCCACAATATGAAGCTTTGTGACATGGACATGGCTTCAACGTTAACGTCTCAGTTTCTTTTCGAGGGCACTTTTTGTTACTGCATTTCTTCTTAATTTTCTTTGGAATTGGAAATATATCAAGCAATTCCAATGCTTTCTTAGAACCAACATCAACAGGCTCCATAAAAGGCAATCGTTTTTCTTCAGCATCTTCGCCTCTTTCTTTCCACTTCATGGCTTCCTGTATGTCTTTCTCGATGACATATATAGTTGCCAAATGATAGTGACAGTTGGGATACTTCTTGTCACATTCAGGTGCTTCTTGTAGATATTCCATGAACAACTGCTTGGCTTTCTGTCTGAGCTGTTGGTCTGTCAATGTTAGGTAGTCTCCTTTGGGTATTCTCTGGTTTTTGGGCGGCTCAAATGATTCTAGTAATTCTTCATCAGCACTGCGTTGCTGATCTTTGACATCGTTTGCGGCCATGTTCGTCAAACAATAAGCTAGTCCCATTTTTGCTTCATAGTAACTGGGACAACAATGCAGTGATTGCTGAAAGGCTTCGGCTCCCTCTCTAAAGCAATCAGTAATAACATAAAGAGATCCTAGGAAGTAATACAGCACATGCAACCAGCTGCTGTATTCTTCTTCAAAGTTGTATGGATCTTCTTTGGGTGGCTTGCCTGGCTCAGCTTTCTCGATCAGCAGAATAAGATTTTTCAAAGACATGCTTTTCTTGAAATCTAATTTATAGCTTTCTAAACTAAGTTTTTGTTCTGTTGGATAGAGTTTGAATAATAAAAGTAAGCCCTCAAAAAAATAGGGGTTAACTCGTAGTTGCTCAMGAATCAAACCAAAAACCATGTGTTTACGCATTGTTAATTCAGGAAATGACTGTATGATAGAGTTTTCATAAAGAATCCCTTGAGCAATCAGTTTTATTCCTTTGGGATCTTTAAAGCTGCTGGTTTGAAGTTTATCCACTCCTTTTTTCACAAGTTGAAAGGCTTTAAGGTAGTGCTGTGCTGTTGGTGAGTCTGGGAACTGAGTGAATGTACCCTCCGTGAAGAGAGTCAGATTCTTTATATTGAAAGGATGCATTTCTTCCTTTTTCATCTGCATTCTCTTGATGTCGAAATATTGTTTAATAGTGCTCTCTTTATTATCAGGTTCACCTGTCTCTGGCTGTGTAGTGTCTTCTACATTTTGGTCCTCTAACTTCTTGAGTGTCTATAAAAAAATTAGACTGTTTTCAGTACTGCTATTCTATCTCATTAAATATTCATCAGACATCCTGATGACGTCATTAGTATTATTTAAGAGATCATTAAATATTCAAGTATGTCACTTGGCGTGAACCCTACTGGAGAAAGAAATCCATTTATCAAGTAGTTCGTTCACCCAGCAGCGTTTCACTATGACTTCTCCGGCTGAGATTAT